AAAAATTTTTTTTTATTATAATTTTATTCATTGCTGAATTTTCTGTTTCTGTTGAGTTCCTTTTGCTTCTTTTGATCTTTTTCTTATTAAGACACTTTCTCCAAAAGCCTGGCTCACATTAAGGGTAAAGTACTAAGGTACTTAGTTATCACCTCTGAGTGATAGGGCCATTCTCCTCTTTGGGAAGATTCCCAAATATCATCATCTGGAGGGGGTTTTTTGGACTGGTCACTTTCTCTAGAAACAAAACCTCCAACCTTCAGTCTGGGGTATGTAAGCCTAGTTGTCACAATTTTATCAGTGTAGTAGCAATCTAGAAGTCTCACTATTCAGGATGTAAACTCTCATTTATTCTCCTCATCCCTTCTACTTTTTCATTATGTTTAGTGTTCTGAGTCAATCTCTACTGACAATCAATCACCAGCCAATCTTTATCTAACTGGAAAGAGTGTGGAAGACTATCTAGATATAGAAATACAGACTATCCATCAATCCAGTTTCCAATCCATGCATGCCCCCACTTTCATGGGCACCTGGCACTTCCAATTCTTCAGCCTTTGTGGTGTTATGAAGTGCTAGGTCCTGAGCTATCCCCCTGCTGGGCTGAGGTTTCCGCTAACTCAAATGTGATTTGCCCATCTGCTTTTCTAGCTTCTAAAAATTCTTTTTTGCAATTGTCTCATTTTAAACTCCTTCAATCCTACTGAATTTCTATCTTTTAAAACCCCTTTACTTCCTTTTTGGTGGATTTCTGAGAAGCAGCTGAGTTAAGCAAGTAGGTTCAATCAGCCACATGTAAACAGAAGTCCAAGCAGAGCACAATATTTAAAACGTATGATGCACTTAAAAAAATACTGGAAAGATAAACCAATAGGTCAAAGTGGTAGAATTACAGGTGATTTTAGTTTTGTTTCTCCTTCTGCTTTTCAGTATTTGCCAAGATTTTTGCACAGAATGTGTATTAGTTTTGTAATTAAAGAGGGAAGGATGGTGTGCTATTTGGCCTCAAGTCTTCAGAAACAGACATTAGAGTGACTTTTAAAAGGTAGCACAATTTGGGTAAAGCTTGAAAGATGTGCGCAAAAATGAAAATAGCTTTTTAACAGGAATCACTCTTGTTAAAACCCTATAGCGGCCTACGCTGCAACAAAACTAACTGCATTCCAATCTCCAGCTCCATGACATACTAACTGTAAACATCAAGCAAGCTACTTGAACCCTCTGTGCCCAGTTTCCCTATCGGTAAAATGGGATTAATATTAGTACTTCTCCCTAGGACTGTTGTGACGATTGAAGGAGCTCCTGCACGTAAAGCACTCAGAAAAGTGCCTAACAGTAAGTACTCAATAAATGTTGGCTTTTATTAACCATTATTGTTACATCGACACCTTAATGGAAAAAAATGTTAAGTTCTAGTTCAATTTACGGAAAATAAACATAGTACTAACACTCTGTTGTTTAAGTTTTATTTATTGAAAACTATTCAAAATAAGCTTAAAAAATAAAAAGATAAAAAGCCTAATTATCCATTCAGTTGATGATGTTCAAATAGGCAAGGATAAAACCACCAAAGTGGTTAAATGGAGAAATACCTCTGTCATTAAGCGTTTTAGTCCTTCAACTTCATCCTCTCCTGGGTTAAGTTCACCACCTGGTCTGTATAAAGGTTAAGAATTTCACCTTTCAACTTAAAACAATTTTAGGATAACAGGAAGAACACAATAATAGTTATTTCTATCATATAACTGAATAACACATATTTCAATGTCACATAAGGCAATCAAAGCAAACAAATGTCAAAGGGAGGGGGAAGAATGTGCTATAAAGTTGAATTCATAATATTAATTCACCAGACTAACAGTGCACAAACCCTAGCTTTAAACGAACAAAATATGTAATATAACAAACAACTTCTAGCCACCAGTCTTTCCCACTCTCTTTTCTCTGGAAGGTAATCTGGTCATAATGGATTCTAGAAATGCCCAAGGAGGCAATGGACCACATTCTTTAGGTCTGAAAAATGGGGCATTCTTCAAGAATTCCAAACTAAGGATTTGGATCTCTCTTTTTGGTATAATCTGGTCAAACAGTTGTGCACTAAATGTATAATATGGAGATATTTATGAGTTTAAATGATAAAACTAAACAGTTACCTATAAAAATGTAAGTCATTTTAAGAATAGGAAACACCATTCATCCTAAGAAAGAAATAATATCACTTGTTCTTAGTAATGGTACAATGACATCTAGAAATTAAACTTGAACTAATTTGCTTCACGAGGCTTCTATCAGGCTCAGTCATTAACAACAATATACAGAAACATGCAGATTGCTAGTTAAGGAATAAATGAATACTACACTGGAGAAAAATGACATTTTTTCTCTTTCTAAAAACTCCATTAACAGGAGTGTTTATGGAAATAAATGACTAAGGTCTAAAATTGTCTTCCAAAGCTGCACAAAACAGCAATCCTATTAAAAGTTGTCTAGCTGTTAACTTCCAATGACACTTACAATTTGAAGAAAGTTGTTCCCAGCTGTAGCAGTAACACATGTGGTAGCCGGTGCTCATGTACAATCAGAACCCCTTCTACAGTCCTTCTCATTCCAATTTTATCAAACTCCTCCCTCATGCG